ACTCACCCACTAACATTAATTAGGACTCCCTTCCTTCAAAGTTCAAAATACTAAAGCATTTTGTTGTTGTTGTAATAAACTCAGTTTATGAAAAGTCCAAAATTAATTGTCATAGTGGTCATATTCTTGCATAACTCATTTTTCCAAAGCAATAAAACCAAAGCTTCATTTTTTTCTTGGGTAAAATATTCATTTTTTTACATTTAATTTTTCTCATATCTCATATTTTCAGGTGACCAACCGCTCGATTTGACCAACAGAATCCTTGCTTTAGATTGGAGAAATAATCCAAAAACAAAGAACTGGGTGAACGTCAAAAATAAAGAAGTAGTATGTAATCATTGTGTAGGATTTTTCTGTTGTGTCCACCATTATTAATCATGTGTAATATTGTAGATATTACATTAGCTATATTTTAACCATTACCGTTAATATATTTGTTTTTGCTATAGTCACTGTTGCTGCTATCATTGTTTCTGCTGCTACTGCTGTTGTTGTTGTTGGTGTTGTTAATGCTGTTGTTGTTGGTGGTGTTGTTAATGCTGTTGTTGTACTGATAGTGTCATTGCTGCTGTTATTGTTGCTGATGATGCTACTACTGTTGTTATTACATTCCTGCAGTGTGTTGTTGCTGCTGCTGCTGCTGCTGCTGCTGCTGTTGTTGCTGCTGCTGTTGCTGTTGTTGCTACTGCTGCTTCTTACTGTTCTTGCTTTTGTTTGTTATTGTTAGTGTTGTTGGCGTTGATGAAAAGCTCATCTCGTTTCTGTTTTTCAGGAATGTGAACGACATCCTTCCTGTGAAAGTGAAGAACTCTCTAGTAAGTAGAACATCAATTGAACATGAGGACAGAGGGAAATGTTCCAAGAAGGGTTCCTTATTATGTGGAAAGATAGATTCTTCCAATGGCAGTTCAACTAATTCTGGGATTTTTTCTCCTTAGCCTCGTACAGTTGTACACTGAATGAATGTTTAGAACTGTTTACAGAGCCAGAGACATTAGGCAAGGATGATGCTTGGTGAGTAATCCGTGACTATTAGTATGTACAACTTTGAAGGAGTCAATACCCTCACAGTGTCAGAGAACTCTAACAAACAAAGACAGAAGGAAGGAAGGAGGGAAGGAAGGAGGGAAGGAAGGAGGGAGGGAGGAAAAAAGAAAGAATGAATGAAAGAATGAATGGAAGAAGGAATAAATGAATGAAAGAAAGAAAGTAAGAAAAAAAAAGTTATGAATAAACATTTATTAGGTTGTACCATGCCTTTCAAATGGTTTCAAAAACCACGAAAAAACAGACCTTAAAATCTAGTTTAGATGATATAATGTACGAGGCTGAAATCATGCATTGTCTCAGCAAAACTGCTTAGTACTATTATAACAGGATTTCGTTCTTTATTGTAAGGTACTGCCCCAAGTGCAAGACTCATCAACAGGCCACCAAACAGTTGTCAGTGTGGAAGCTTCCAGAAATACTGATCATTCATCTCAAACGATTTTCATTCAGAAATGTTCTGTACAGGGATAAGATAACAAAACTTGTGGAGTTCCCCTTGAGGTAAGAGAGTGTAAACATCTGTTACGTTGTGCTTGTATGAGTGGGTTGCAGTACTAATATGCCGCCTCTCACTTGTGGTCATGGGTTTGGGTGCACAGGTGGTGTGCACTGCTAATGCAATGCCTCTTATCAATGCAGCCTGAGTTCTTGACCTGGTGDGCTTGGTGTCGTATGTGAGTTGAGGTGTTCACTCGTTCTCCTGTGCTTCGAGTGTTTTTCTYCAGTTTTTCCTCCCTCCACAATAACCAACTTCTAAATTCTAATTCAATCTATTGGCTGCCTTGTCAATTGGGCTGCAAAACCTGTTCACAGTGTAAACGCATTAGATCTTCAAATTATTCATCATACCGTATGTGAGGATAGTTGTTTGTTGGTTCTCTTCTGTGGTTTAAGGTTGTTCTTCAAATTCTTTGGCTATTGTCCCCAAAAATCTATTTCTAAATTCAGTCAATCTGGCGCCGAGCACTTTGTTTCGGGAGATGATTGAGCAGTCATTACTCTGCAAAGTTGCCCATGATGTGGAAACTTCGAGGCGATGGTTGGCCAATATAGAGCTTTACTATGATAGCAAACATGGTGTCTAGTGATATAGCTTGGGTACAATTTTTTGTTCATCATGTACCCAAGATAGGCCATGATGCATCATGGTAGTCGACTGAAAAAAGTCTACGAGGATGCAATTTCGTTCTTTAATCATTTTGCCTTCATCTTCTTGTCAAGACGTGAAATGTTACAATGTGTTACAAATGTGTTCACGCCAGTATTGAAGACTAGAGCTCGCCACATGAAGTGTAACTTGCTATATATTGACCTAAACGTTTCTACTCCACAGGGGTTTAGACATGTCTATGTATACAGCGGATAAGGGACACGCTAATGATGTGTACGATCTTTTTGCTGTTTCCAACCACATGGGGAGTGTTAATTTTGGACATTACACTGCGTATGCTAGAATATCTGAAGGATGTCATGCACAGGAACAAAGAATAGGTACCATCAAAAAATGTCACCCACCCACCTCCACCCACCTACTTACCTACCAACCTACCCACTTACCCACCTACCAACCTACCCACCTACCTACCCACCCACCTACCCACCTACCTACCCACCTACCTACCTACCCACCTACCTACCTAACCACCTACCTACCTACCCACCTACCAGCCTACTCACCTACCTACCGACCTACCTACCTATATATCTATCTTCCTACCTACCTATCTACCTACCCACCCACCCACCTACCTGCCTACCTATCCACCGATTTACCTAACTGCCTACTCTACCTACCTATCTACAGTATCTACCTACCTACCCATCCACCCACTCACCTACCTGCCTAACTACCTACCAAACTTGTTACCTACCCATCTACTTTTATGTATTTATTTTGTTCGTATGCCTGTTTTTTTGATCACCATTTTACACAAACAAGACCAAGCCACAAAATCTCGTTTCCTGACTTTTGCTGGTGTTTTTTCTCTTCCAGGATGGCGTTACTGCGATGATCGTAGCGTGACAAATTCCTCCGAAGAACGTGTCGTGTCTAAATGTGCTTACGTACTGTTCTATCAACGACGACGGACTTCGGAATCACTTCGGAATTCTTTCGGAAACCAGTCGGTACCTACTACTTTCGCTAATCCTTCCTCTTCAGTTACCAAAGAACCCGCTCTTGGGGACTTGTCGTATAATCATAATGGTATCTCGAGCAAGGAACGACCAGAATCTTCTACCCATGTGGAAGAAGAATCTAGGACTAATGAAGAAAGGTGCTCAGTCTCTGATAAGGCTGTGCCACTAACTAACGGAAACGTTAGAACTTTCACTACTAACGAACCAGAGATAAATGATAAGTCGAAATCAGAAGCCCCGAATGTTATTACCTCGGATAGTTTATCAAACGGAGATGGTTTAAAGCAGCAGGGAATGTCCTCATCAACACACAGCACCAGTACGAGAGACTCGAGTAATCCTTATATCGATCAGTCAGAAGTCGATGAGAGTGAATTAGATTAATGTAAAAATAATATATATAATACTACTACTACTACCAGAATCCTTTTCGAAGCCTTCAGATGTTAGTACGTCAGCTAGAGGTAAACTCCCGTTGTTTTTACACGCTTTTGTCGACGTCTCTCCAATTTTGCTTTGAACGACTGATGGAGAGATCGTTAAAGTGCTCACTGTCGCCTTTCCGGGAGAGCTACTAAATAAATTCTTGGGGTGCAACCACATGACGCTAAATCCTCTGAGATATAAGTACTGTAACAGTGAAACAGCCGCCATGTTGGTTGATCTAACAAGAGAAGATAACGAGAAATGCCTTATCGTCAAACAACATGGCGGCTATGACGTATCATGCACCCCAAGAATTGCTAGTTTTCAATGCTGGTCTAACTTAGTGCGGATCTTATTTTTGCCCAAACCTAGTCAACCCCAGACGCGGTTACTTCATTTATACTATCATATACATCAAATTTATAATGTCTCAGGAATGTTGTGATTGACTGAAACTAAAAATTTAGACGTCTGGATATTATTATTCGTTATTAGATTCTCATGGAAATGTTAGCAAAATATCTATAACTATTTGAATCAAGGTAACAAAAACTATAAACAAGCTCCTGGTTGTAGAGATTTGTTTGGAGCAGTACATAACGATAATGGCAAGAAAGGAGGRGAATCATCCTAAAGAACAAAAGACGTGGCCGCCATGTTGATTGGCATGTCTTTAAAAACCAAGACCAAATCTTTTGTTCAAGTTAATCAACATGGTAGCTATGACGTCACATGCACAAGAACAAAAGACGTGGCCGCCATGTTGATTGGCATGTCTTTAAAAACCAAGACCAAATTCTTTTTTCAAAGTCAACCAAGATGGCGGCTGTGAAGTCACATTCACCCCAAGAATTCGCCTCGTCGCCTCGCTACTAGCGACCTTTAGATACGACGACGAATACGAGATCGAGTACGAGTACGAGTTTTAAAATTGGTCCTGTGCACGTGGTTAACACTAAATCGTAGTCGATTTCCGATTTTTTACAATCTAAAGTTTCAATGTACGTACACGATCACGACTACAAAAAGACAGTGCCTCTCTTTAAAAGTTAAACACTCGTACTCGTACTCGTTTGTCGTACTCGTCGTCGGATCTAAAGGTCTCTAATGTCAAAAAACGAAACGACTACGATGTAAATCAACATATGGARCTTTCGGTTTTGATAAATAACTTTCTTAATTAAATTTTTTTCTGAAATTTTGTAAATATTTGCTTATGAAATATCTCGTTAAATGAATTGTGATCGTTCTATTTATTGACAATATCAATTTTTTTTTTTGTTTTTTTGTTTTTTTTGTATGGTCATTGATTCAAATAAATTTTCATTTACAATTTCCGGTACAACGTCTCTAATTGCGAACTTGGACCGAATGAGAAAATACAATTTCTTTATCGCGTGTAGTAGAAGCTCTCTCTATCCTTAGTGGGGAGTTGTTAAACGAAGCGATTCCGTCGAAACAATGTTAGGAAAATTGTTCTCGTGTAATATGGCGCGCGGTTACAATTTTTAGCGATATATTGTTCAACAATTGAAAACGTTGTTGCCATCGGTTTGTGTTGCCGCGCGCACCATGTTACGCTAGGCCAAATCTTAACGCTACAATGTTGCGCTAAAAATCGTCTCGTGTATTATCATAACATGAGCTCAAAATTGTTGTACGACATTGTTGCGTATATTACTACACCTTAGATGCCTAATTTTTGGGGCTTTAATTAACTTAAACTAACATTAAAACCCTTTGCATTTCATGATGAATTTGCTGGACAGCTTAGGCATGGGTCAGTTCATGGATGTAGCTAGGTCGGCCTTACTGCTAGTGCTAAGTCGTTTTTGATTCCCGTTTGAGAAAGAAAAGGACTTATCCCTAGCACAAGGGTTAACCCATTCTCACGTAAAAAGATGAAATATACAGGGCCAGATAAACCAATTCTGCAGGATTTGCTCAAGTACGAACAATGTTGATGCGTTAAGTCAGACATTATTCAAGTGTGGAAATCCTTCAAGTCAAGTTTATTTCTCACACTGCCAACTCACTTGGTACAGTTTTGTCTTCCTTCACACTCACTCCAAGTTGTTTTACTTCATTTCCCGTGACACGAGAGTCTACACCGAATTCATAAGAAGACCTCAATGGTGGCCCAAGATGTGAACTCTGGGGCACTCTATAAGACGAACGATAAAGGATGTTTTTAAATGCCAAGCGATATTTTGGCAGTCTCAATGCATACGCAAAAGGATCCAGTGCAAACTTAAGCAAGATGATATCACCAGCTATGGTATAAGCAATAAGATATTTTAGACGTTGATTTGGGTTTGACGACGTCCAGTAGAACTTTAAGTGACCCAAGACTTCGATTGGAAGGCTAAAAACAATGACAAAGGCAGCGAGAAGAAGGTTCAAGAGGGTGAACTGCCTGCGGTTTCGTCTCCGCTGAAACTGGCTCGTGCCACTTCGTCTCATGGATTCAGAATCCAAATGAGTGCGGTACGACCTGTACAGAAATGCGTAGGCCAGAACTAAAGCGAGCAGTACAGTGGAAGTATTGATGTGAAGGTCTAATTGAGCGGTAATATCCGTACTGACCCCCATCACAGGTAGCAATGAGAACAAGGTTGTGTAACCCCAAATACAAACCACACAGATCAGGCATTTTAATTTAGTGATCTTGTCTTTGTACTCGTGAGGGGATGACACAGCGATCACTTGGATGCAAGTCAAAGCCAATACTGTCATGAATGACGCGTTCATGGTTACCAGACTAAAGGAAAACGAAAAACTAGCAATCTGTTTATAAATCTGGTCTTCCCTAACCTGAAGCCTCTTCAGATAAGCCATGAGATTTATTGACGCGGCCAGAGGATCGACAATCAAGCCCGTCAAGAAGTCGGCAAACCCAAGACTTGCTACTAAGATTGAGGTTGGGTTTCGGAAGCTTCTAAAAGGATCTTTCCAGGTCGCTAGAAGAAGCAGGCCGTTGCCAACTACTGTCGTGATGCTCAGAAACACCATTAACACAAACGATACCAAATGTGTTGTGTAAAACACTGATACAAGTGTCTCTGAGGCATTGTTAGATTGGTTGGGCATCTTGCAGTTTCTTTGTGTCAAGCGGCTCAGTTAATAACAGAGAAGTCCAACTATAAGACTACTGAATGAGGTTCAATAAACAGCGGCCCCCACTTGTATAAGGAGACTAGAATAGGCTGCAGCCGGCTGCTATGCCACAAGTTAAGAGCGGCGAAGTGACTCACCGAATAGATAGATTTCCAARTGGGAATCTTGACTTTATGTAATACAAATACAATCATAATGTCTGCGTTTGGTGAACGCTCAACTACCAACCAAACTGCATGGCTGGGAGAGAAATAAATGGAACTGTCGAATTATATACAGATCGCGTGGCCGGATGTTTACAAAGGTACGAAAACGGYACCCTATCTACCACGCAAAAAAAGCCTTTGCTCTTGTTTGCGTTGAGATTTGCTCTTTTGTTAAACAGCAGTAAATTTCGGTCAATTTGAAGAGCTTGTCTGTGAATTTTATGTTGTTGTGTACCACAGAGTTTGCCTGTCCAAACATCATGTCAGTAACACAAGCAGGTGATTACGCTTTGGAAACGAAGGAGGTTGATGAGAAAATATATCAACAACATCGCCAGGAAACGAGGACTTTGAAACGTCATTATGAAGCGAAAGAAAATAGAGAAGAACAGCTTGTTAAAATATTTACTTTCTTAGTGTTGACTTTTTTCGTTGCTTGACAGAACACGACGGTAGAAGTGGTCGTCCTGTGATAGCCACTCAGATCAACTCCAAATCGATGTTGTTTTAATTATAATTTTTTGGTAATATGATCATCTTGATTTTTACTTTTTTCAATAACTTGTAGTCCTAGAGCAAGTTATTTGTATGGGCTATCTATTACTTTAGTTGCTGGCCACACATGTATCATCATCATGTATCATCATCATGTATAATCATCATGTATCATCATCATGCATCATCATCATGTA